TACTTTAGATTTTATGAAATAGTACAACACAATATCTAGTTAAATCTAATATTCAAGTCAAAATTAATTAAACAGAAGTCCAAAATTAATTTTGATAGCTTGATGTTGTCTTCTACAAATAGAAGCCCCAAATTAATACTCACAATAGAATAACGTTATTTATCTAAAGTGATGGTTATCAGTAATTTATGTGACGATAGACCAGTGCTACATTGTCTATTGAATTTGAAATGTGTTTTCTTCATTAGAAAATGTGTCAGTAACCTCACTTCTATATAGACAAACGATGCGACTTTAATCAATCACATTGTAAGGTAATGACAAATAGAGAGGACGTGGGATGTTTATATCCTTGTACCTCGATTTCCTCGAACAAGATGATGACAAGAAATAAACCAATAATTGCTAGTTCTCTCTCCCTCTCCCTCTCTCTCTCTCTCCCATGGAGCAGTTTGAGTCCCATTCTTTTGCCAAAACACATTTTTATAGTGAATGTGTAGTTAAAAAAATGAGGAAAAACTTTGGATTTGTGTGTAATACTATTTTATTGAATAATATGTGGTTGAAATGAAAAGAGATAAAAATGTATTTTAAAATTAATGGGTATCCCATATGCTCTACAATTATATTTATATAGGTAGATATAAATAAATTATTAATTTAGTAAAAAAGGAAAAAATACATATTTTGTGTACTTTAGATTTTATGAAATAGTACAACACTATCTAGTTAAATCTAATATTCAAATCAAAATTAATTAAACATAAGTCCAAAATTAATTTTGTAGCTTGATGTTGCCCCCTACAAACAGAAGCCCCAAATTAATACTCACAATAGAATAATATTATTCATCTAGAGTGAAGATTATTGTAATTTATGTGACGTTGGACTACTGCTACACTATCCAATGAATTTGAAATTTGTTTTCTTTATTAGAAAATGTGTCATAGCCTCACTTCTATATAGACAAATGATGTGACTCTAATCAATCACGTAGTTAGGTTAAGGCAAGTAAATGAGACGTTGGATGTTTACATTCTTGCACCTTGATTTCCTTGAACGTGATGATGACAAGAAATATACGTGTAATTGTCACTCGCTCTCTCTGTATATAAAGATGATGGACTAGTTTGAGCCCCATTCTTTTGCCAAAATATATTTTGAAATAGTAATTTAATAGTGAATGTGTGGTTAAAAATAAGGAAAAAATTTAAATTTGCTTATAATACTATTTTATTGAATAATGTGTGGTTGAAAAGAAAAGTGAGAAAAATATATTTTAAAATTAATGGGTATCAAATATGCTCTAAATATATCCACGTACAATTATACTACAATTATATTTATATAGGTAGATATAAATAATTAATTTATTTTCGAAAAAAAAAAAGAAGGAAAAAATACACATTTTGTATACTTTAGATTTTATGAAATAGCACAACACAATATCTAGTTAAATCTAATAGTGAAGTCAAAATTAATTAAACAGAAGTACAAAATTAATTTTGGTAGCTTGATGTTGTCCCCCTACAAACAGAAGCCCCAAATTAATACTCACAATGGAATAACGCTATTCATCTAGAGTAACGATTATAAGTAATTTATGTGACGTTTGACGTTGGACTACTGCTCCATTGTCTAATGAATTTGAAATGTGTTTTCTTCATTAGAAAATGTGTTAGAAGCCTTATTTATTTTTTTCTTATCAAATTGAGAAAGTGATTTCATGATGTTATGAAATTCAATTAAGATTTATTTAAGTAGTTTGTCAAATTATTGAATTCGGTATCTAGTGAAATTATATGTTCTATATCTCACCTTTAAATAGAAAATTTTCGCTCTATTCAAGAGCGATTTACAACAATTTAGCTTTCTTTACCTCTAAATACGAAATTTAGAATAATAGACCCAATTCAAAAGTGGTAGAGGCAAAATGAAAAATTTACAAAATAAACTCGTATATAAGATAAAATTACTATGTACATACCATATTTTATTATTTTTAAAAATTAAAATAAATTACAAAAATGCTATTATAAATAGTTGAAATGATGAATATATCGTTAGTTGAAAAGAACAAGGTAATTATATTACCACTACGAAAATTATTAGCTACACCATAGTTTTGAACATTTTTCTTATTTAATTAAATGGCCTAAAGGAAAATTACATAAATGGAGTTTTAATATATTTATCACATAAAACAATTTATTATTCCGCTGCAATCATAAATTATATCCAAATTTTTAGGGTATGATGGGAGGTTTATGATTTTAGGGCACATGTTGTAGGCAGGGACGTAGCCAGGATCCCCCCCGACATGTTTTTTTAATTAAGAGGATTGAAAACGACGATTTTAATTACCAAAATAGGCAAGTTAAATTG